GAAGATTTCCCTTTTTAATTCAATTTTCAATTTCAATTTAACTGAAAATGGAGCTGAAAAAAAAGGAAGAATTAGGGGACATTATCCTTTATATGGATGCAGTCCCTTATTATACTTTTCTGTAGGTTGAGTTGATGGTAGCCGTTGATGTGTGCTGAAAGAAGAAGAGTCAACCAATAAAGTGGCTCTTCATTCAACTAAAAATGTACTGTATTAATACAATTTTCTTTTACATCCACTAGATGGAGCCATTTTCAGCTGCCAGTGTGGGATAGCTTCTTTCCCCACACATCTTTCTTTCTCTAAAACATCATTCTTGATTCAAACAATCCTTTGGACCCAAATGATTCCCTTCAACAAACTCCTTTCTACAAGTTTATTGAACTTTGTACTACAACACAATGGTTCACATACAATACAGCATAGTGATGAGTCTATATATACAGAAATTTTGCACGGTGATTCTTCACATAATAATCATGTTGACGCTACAGTATAGGCATACAGAAATAAATAAAACAAACATTTCTCTGAACAAAGTTAGCGCGTGACTTTCTTTTGCATTTTACTATGTCATGGCACGCTATTTTACTTACAAGATTAACAATATATAGCACATGTATTTTAGATATGTTGAAATTTAGACAGTGGAACAGAAGGTGACAATATAGTACACATTTCTCCCCTCCTTCAAAGTTAATGATTATACTTAAAACATGATATCAAATAGAGGGTCTGCTTGGACACGTACAGTAGGGTCTGACCAGGCGAGGCTGGGGGATTATTTCACTTTAGATGTCATGTGCTAGAATGAAGATGTTATGTATAAAATTATGTTATTTGTTAAATATCAGGTTTATTACCCCGTTCATCTGCTAAGCCTTGAAGAACACACTCTGACTTGATTGTTCACCAGCAATCACATGGTTTTTACGTCTATGAGTAAGACAACGGTGGTGGCCCATGGTGACTGTGATTGTGAATGTGAAGCCCTGAGATGTTGTTAATGCAGGTAAGAGCATGACACAGAGCGGTGAGGTCATGAATGAAGCTGTTAAGGATCACGACTGTTGACGGCCTAATGGGCATAATTTACATGTAGATTAAGTCCAGTCAAGCAATATAATAGCCTGGACTTCGCATTTTTCAATATAAAATTCCATTCTGAAGAATCAGATCAGACTCAACTTGTGATCAAATATGTCTGGAAAATACAAATCAACTCTTTATCTCACTTATTCACTTGCACATGAAGGTTTCCTTTAAGAACGACACACTTCTACGTCTAATCTGTCCTTTAATTCAATGACTCAGCTCAGTCCAAAGACATCCATGTCTTCGTCATCCACCTAAGGCATGCTGCTTTCTTCTATCCTGATTGGTTGGTCAGGATTTCAAACAGAAGATCAGCAGCACGACCTGACAACAAGCTACAAACAACAAGCTTCTGTCAAACAGTCGGTCATCCCAGACTGGTGGCTGCTCAGCTGGGGACTCGTTTGCAGACACTCCCTAATCATTGGACTTTTGATGGTTCTGATTACAAAGCACCAGATCACTGAAAAACTTCCATATCGTCTTAAAGGGGTTTGAGATGTTTTTTCACTTCTGGTTTAAAATCCAAATTTACATAACACAGGGAAAGCATGTTAATAGTGTAACTTTAAATTAAAAGACACTGTAATTTCAGCCTTTTAGGTGCCAAAGAGGAAAATACATCAGACACCAGAAAGTTTAGGAAAATACTTGAATATCAATGTAGTACACTTCTCTTTAGACAATGAACTTGACTGACCTGCCCTGATGTGATGAACTCAAACTTTCTCGTCCTCTGCTGCTCTAGAAAATGGTAGCGTTCGCTTTTTCAGCCCAGCTCTGATCCTGTTACATGATGGAGAAGGAATCTGTGTATGAACGTAACTACTGGCCTTATGAGAGCTTTTAAATCTACTTACAGCTATTGGTGTACTAAAACTTCTCTTAGAAACTCTAAGATCAGCTCTTATTCAGCGTTTAAAAGGATGATATTTTAGTATACTGTAATAGGTGTATAATGGGCTGCTCTAGAGGTAGTAATTACAAATGTATGCATGTGACGGTGTGTTAGTTTGATAATGAGAAATCAGCTCTTGTTAAGGCTCGGTATAAAGACTCGTGAAGTGTTGGTGCAATGCAGGGAAGGAGCCACATTGAATGGATGTGGGCAGCATCACCTGAAATGTACACTGGCATCATACAGCTGCAACATCACAGTATCAAAGCAATTACAAAAGGTTTCCTCGACACAGACTGCAAGTCTGGGCTGGGTTTCCCTGATGCATGTTACATTTTATGTCCTCTATCCTCTAAAATCTAAAGTACTGGATCAGGATTAAAGGAAACCAGCTCTCTCTTTCTCTTTCTGTGTGCGTGTGTGTGTGACATCTGTCGAAGTCGATCAGACGCTTCACTCGCAGCATACCAGCTCCTGACTGGAATCAGGACACATGCAAAGATTTGAAAGCTAACCCGCTAAGCGACATGCATGCAGAGTGTGGGTCTTCTGTTACAAGCTGGCGTTACACACTATACTCTTATTTACGACGGAGAAAAAGGTCATGTCTGCCTACAGCATGTCATCCACATGATGCCCTTAAGAAGATGTGTGCAGGGGACGGTGGAGGCTGTGCATTCACACAAACAGTTGCTGGTCAAAAACCTCTACTGGAGTATACAGCACTATTATTTACAACATCTGTGTACTAAGTAATCAGGGATGGAGTCCAGTTTCAGTTCAACCACCCCAGGAGGTAATCAAACAAATTGATTGGCTGAAGGATTGATGAGTTGATTCTGTATTTAAAAAAACACAAATTTAGTTTACTTCCTGCACTGAGTGAACTGGAAAAGACTGGATCCCAGAACTGAGGGTGAGAGTGGTCACCATAGGAGCAGGAGGGGCTTCAGCTAGTTAGAAGACTACAGGGGCTACAGATCTTCATCATCATCTTCGTCGTGATGCAGTGGAGGGATGGGAGACAGGCTGCATGCAGATGGGAAGGGAGGGTCCTTTGACAGGTACAGTGTTTGGTCATCTTCTGGAGAGAGGCGACAAAAGGAAAAACTGTTAAAAGTTCTAAAGAATGATTATAAATCAACAATCAGTTTTTCCTATTTAAGGACCATACCAATGGTGTTGTTAGTTTTAACTTTTTAAGTTTTAAGCATACCATGAGTTTGTACACTGATTTTCCAACACCTAGGCAGCAAGTGGTTTACAGTTCATGGCAGTGTGTTATACAATACATTAATAAATTATGTTGATTTTTATTTCTCTATTTTCTGTGTATAATGTTGCTGCAGCCTCAGGTGCTAAATGTCCATGAATGCATGAAGAGAAAGAGTATTCAAATTCGTCACTCTTACTCACTTTGAAGTTAATGTGCAAAACCATTCGTGTAGCCTAAACTGGATAGACAAATAAGATTTTAAAGTGTGTGTGTGTGTGTGTGGTGTGTTGTGTGTGTGTGTGTGTGTGTGTGTGTGTGGGTGTGTGTGGTGTGTGTGTGTGTGATTACCATGGCATTAACTTGCAGCGGTCTCCTGCTGAATGATGTAGTGCCTGTTTGTATCATCCACTTCGCTGCCACAATGAACTTCACTCCTGTTAATATGCAAACACTCAGTATACAACCAACTATATCATAATTATGTGCTGTACTTGTACTGGACACTGCATTTAATAACCCATGAAGGGTGGGAGATCAAACTGAAAAGTAGTTTGATAACAACACGACTAGAATTTGTTTCTGTAAGGAGGCAAATTTCATTTGTCCTTACAGAACTAAACATACAGTTTAAATGTTTAATACTGATCTATTGTAATTTATTCTTAAATTAGTCAAAGGGACCGGCTCAGACTTTCAGTTTACTGTTGTCTTACTGTAACTGATATCCTCACCTGTTGTCATTGATGTCTCTTGTTTCACTGAGGCTGTTACCTGTCGGAAACAAAACAATAGTTTGATTTAATTGATTGATAAACACGATCATGTACGTATCGATACTGAGCTCCTGACAATATAATAATATATCAGCAATCTCATGATAAAAATTGATCTGAATATGTGTGTGTTAGATGTGTGTGTGTGTGTGGTCTTTTACTTACCATTGTCAATGTTGAGTGGGAAGGATTCCAGTATGTCTCCATTATATCTGCCTGCTCTGTAGCCCAGCGCTGTGGAAACTCTGTGTAAAACACCACAGAGGAAACAGAAAACACACCAATGAATAGGAGCACGCTGTGTGATGTTACAATTGAAGAGGACATACTGTAATTTAAAAAATCTAAAGGTAGACAGAGTAAAAATGAACACAGTTAAGTAACAAAGAAGAGAGAAGCCTGCCAGCTCACTGACCTGACTTTAAACCTTGCAATGTGTGACTGAAAAAGTTGGAGGGAAGGATTTAAACTCACGTGTTGCTCTGGACAGAGTTGGGGTTGCAGTTGACGCTGGCGGAGCTTGGCTGTGTCACGTTGCCTTGGAAGAGGGCGTTGCTGTAGGTGTTGGCGTGTTCAGTGGCACGGATGTAAGTGTAGAATGGGTTGGTGGGAGAGCATACGGTCAGCTGCTTCGGCCTCACAGGCTTGGCTGTCAAGATAATAAAACAATGTAAGGTACACTTATTATTAAAGTGGGTCACTGTAACTGCAAACCTAATAGGTTAAATTAAAGAAAGTCTTTTCAAAATTGCATGTATTTCAGACATTTCACTCCAGAAAATTCCCATAGCTGACACAAACAAATAAAGCTTCAGTGCAGTACCGATCTGTGCTGCATGGGGACGCCTCAGGGCGTTCTTTGCCCTCATGGCGTCTTTGATGCGGTCAACCTCCTGCTGGTAGCGCCGGCGGTCCATCATGGCGCCCTCCTTGGCATCCCTCAGTGCAGTCTCCAGGGCCTTAACTCTCTCAGCAGTAGACCGAAGACGTTTCTCCAACTTTGGAAGCTCACAACGCAAATCTGCATTGTCACGAACCAGCTGGAGGGGGAGGCAGAGAGAGAGAGACAGAGAGGGAGGGGTGAAAGAGAGAGAGGTGAAAGATGACACAGCGGGAAATATAAATAATATATATAATAAAAATCATATAATATATAAATAAAAAAGTGTTATTGTGAGGAAGTGAGGAAAGAAGATGAAAAACAGAGAAAGAGAGAAGAGGGAAAATGCGTAGCCAAGTACACACTTACAGTTTAAGTAGTTAAATTGAATAACTACTTAAAAAGGACAAACATACAAAAGGCCACTAAATTGCAGCAATAGGAGGCATATAATTCAATTAGTAACTTCCAACCTGCGCTTCCCTCACTGGTCAATAAGAAAAGGACATATACGCTGCACAATATACTTATTTGAACATACTCTGATTATATGCACTCTGTGAGGTTGGGCGTATCAGTTTGCTGTTTGGGCAAACAACAGTCAAATCATTCCCCAAAATGGCGGCATATCTTGGACACTGAAAATATCAGAATTACACTGTTTCCTAGTCTAATACAACCCAAACTGCAGACCATGATTACGTCACTAAAAGCTACAGTTCCTCTCATCCTTTCTGTGTGTTTCTCACCTGTTTGTGAACCTTTGTAAGTTGGTCCAGGTTATTCTCAAGAAAGGAAATCTTCTGCTTCTGGGTGCAAGACCCCCCGCTATCATCAGGTTCCATTTCGGAACTCTGCAGAGAGGAAGAGGAGGAGGAAGAAGAGAAAATAAATACAAAGCAAAAAATAGGAAGAGGTTTTCTATTGCCCTGTTAAGAAAATGACTGTAAAACCTAATGGGGGCTGATAGAACCGTTATAATATATCGACTCACTGATTACTATGAGAAGACTTCTGGTTGATTTGGAGTCATAGTGGAACAAAACCTTCCACCTGTCAGTAATCAATACACTTTCATGTGCCAAACAAGCCACTTTTAGGCCAAAAGCAAAAAGAGTTGTTCATCCAGAATTTTGCATGTTGGTATATTACTTCCTTGCAAGGCTTTTCTGTTGGATCTTTAATCCACTAGTATACATTAAAAGGGAATATCTTGTATCACATATATGATATTGAGGGGATTAGAGGGATGGAGGATGTTGTTGCTATTTCTACTGAGGTTTATCAGGGTGCATTCAGGTCACAGATTCTTCAATACCCCCTTGACATGATTAAAAAAATACATTTCCTGAGTTACTGACTTCTCTAATCATCTTTAAGCTGCTTACTTTTTTAACCCGCGACGTGAGGTCTTGAACGAACAGCTTGCGCAGGTTGTGGAGGGTCTGGAGTTCGCGGGCCTGGAGGACAGAAAGATGGAAATAGGTTAACGACAATTCCAGGTTCTGTGATGGAAGAGAAAAGTAATACAGAAGAACGGAGAACAGACTGAGAGGTGTAAGGAAAGAGAAAGACGCAGCAGGGGACAAGGTTTCAGAAGAGACAAAGGTATAGTGGTGTAAATTTTACTCACGACAGTCTCCTCCAGACCCTTCAAGTCCTGTTTAGTCTGCTCATGGCGCTCATGCAGAAATCTGACACAAACAGCAAAACCATCATCATAGATAAGACAACATTTCTGTGTACTTCAGCACCATGTGTTGTTTAGAGTGCCCTCTGCTGGAATTTAATATAAGGGAGACTGAACAGAATCAATTCCATCCACAGATGTTTTTATATCCTCCACTGAAATAATGATGCAATCATCAGGTGCTGACTCCCATCATCTGCTTTAGCAAATGTCATTTAGCAAATGTCATTTTCATCCAACATAGTGTACTCTATATTCAGACATTTGTTTCAACTACACTGAGTAGTCAAGTGTTAGAAAATTGACATCCCCAACACTTACGAGAGCTCCTCCAGGCGTTCACTCTTGGTGCTGTCCTGACTCTTCAGCCGTTCAAAGTCAGCACGAACCTGAGCCAGCTCCAGCTCCAGCTTGGAGTTACGGCTGAAGGTGTGAAATAATAACAGAAAGGGAACAGTTTAGATTAAAATTAATATACAGCAAACCTGTTTATTTCACAGATAATAGTCAGTAAAAAATTGTGTTGTTGCAGTATGAAAAGATGTAATACTGGCAATATTAATAATAGCACATCATTATTAATAATAAGAAATGATCACATCTCTATTTCTGTGTAAATAGGAGTAAGTGTAAACTAATTAAGATGGTAACGGACTCAGTGAGCTCATCAATGATCCTCTGCTTCTCATTGATCTCATCCCGGAGGCGGGCCAGCTGCTTGTGATGGAGGCCACGGTGAGACTCCCCCTGCTGACGAATAGTCTTCTGGAAATGAAAAGAGCAAACACACAGCGTCTCTTCAAAGAAGCTCAGGCATTGAAAACTTGACAGTAAATAAAATTAAAAGTCACATAATCTATTTGTCATTATTTCTTTGAGCGCTCTGTGCAACAGAGACAATATGAGGCATCACTTCATCATGTAGCACTACACAGACATCTGAATAATACGTTTTTATCTTTGCTTTTATCCTGTTCTGTGGTTCCATGATACCCATGTCAGATTTTTAATCAGGCTGGGAACTAAAGAAATTGTATTGCGACGTTTCTCACCTTCACATTTGCATCCTCAGTCTCTCCCTTCTCTCCCTCCTTCTCCTCAAGCAGAGAGTTATCTGGTAGAAGAAAAATAGAAAGAAAGCATTCACCACAAAGCTAGAACCCTATAACACATTTACATTTTTTATTTATTTATTATACATTACATTTAACAGTATTTTTGTGTGCGTGTACGTGTGTGATGTGCATGTTACCCTGGTCTTGCAGCTTGGCCAGCTCTTCGCTCAGAGAGTCGTGGCTCTCCTCCAGCAGTCTCTTCTTCTGCTCCACACTTTGCATGTACTCCGTCAGAGAGCGGATCTTAGCTTCATGCTGTACCAACACATATGTACACAAAGGAAATTTTATAAAAACTCGGCCATGACAAACTACACTCATACAGCCTTTCATCAGTTCCAGCTTTGTCCTGTTCCTCTCCCTTCACCCCTCACCTGAGAGATGAGGAGCTGGCAGGAGGAGAGCTCCCTCCCGGTCTCCTCCATCTTGCGGTGGCACTCCAGCTGCATGTTCTCCAGCTGGCGGCATCGCTTCACCATGCTCTTCACCTCCGACTTGATCTTGCTGATGTAAAGGCGAGCCACCGTGAACTCCTCCTCGATCGCACCGCTAATCTCCACCGGCTGAGGACAGAACAGGACAAACAGGAAACTCAATAAGAACATTCCCTCTATTATGTGTAACCTACCTACAGTATGTGTGCATTTTGAACTTTAACTTAATTCAACTCACCAGCTTGATCTCCCCGTTGCCCACGATGGTGCTGAACTCGCTGAGGTCCCTCATCAGACCATTGAGGACATCAGCAATGCGTTTCCTCTGCTGACCGCTCACTTCCTGCATACGAGACAGCTCTGCCTCCAGCTCCATCAGACTGTTCTGTTCAAGAGAAAAAGAGAGGAAGAGTAAGGATTAAGAAAGCAATAACTTTCTACAACAGAATGCACCCACATACCGCATACATTGATGTGTGTGCCTGTGTTTTAAAGTTTTGTACACATTACACATTGCAATTCATTTTTATGGCCTCAGTGAAAAAAAAGTTTGCGTCAAGTTAGTGATACTTGGATGACGTTACTACTTTTTAATAGGTAATTAGGAATTGTGTCAGATTACACAAGTAACCTTTCAAACCCTGCTACAGTAAGCCTAATGTAAAAAGGCTCTAGCACTTTTTCTCCAGTACTTGATGGTAATTTAAGTCCTGCAGTATTATCCACTCAAGGAAGCTGCACTGCTACAGCAGGTGCTTATCTCTGTAGTACAACATGCAAGCATGTCCTTTTGTTCCTTCTCCTATTTCTGACAGCTTTAGCTCTCCTTCTGTCAATCTCACATTTATTTTAAAAAGTACCATTTTCTGGGACAATTGATCAGCCAGCAGCTGGTTTTGCAGGCCTTTCTCCTCCACCTCCTGGCTCTTCTGGTCGTAGTTGATGGCCAGCTCCTCCAGAGCCTGCAGCACCTCCTTCACCTCAGCCTTGGCGCAGTCGCTCTCCACCTGCAGCCTGCCGAGTTCAGCCTGGACCTTGTCCCCATCGCCCTTCGATGAGGCTAAGAGCTGGAGGCAGGGGGGGAAAGAAAAGAGAGGGAGAACGATGAGGATCTTTGGACTTTTGTTTAAAAGTGCACATTTTATCCAGTCCTGAATTCTTAAAGGGGCTGTTTGAAAGATAGAGCGTGGGTTTAATCTGAAGTTTAGAATTGGCGAGTATCCCCTCAAACATAGTCTGTGTGTGCACACAGTGTGTATTTTGTGTGATAGTGTGAGTGAGTTTGTGTGTACTGACCTCATCCTGGTCCAGCATCTGCTGCTTCAGTTTTTCCACCAACTGGCACTGCAGGTTGATCTCATCATCCTGCATAAACATGATATAATCATAAATACCAACCTCACTACCATCCAGTCCTTTGTCTATGATTGTTTTACATTAATAAATACATAATTAAAGATGCTGCAAGTGTTAACTAGTAGTGAGTAGGACACTAAAAATATCCCTATTTATATTTGACTACAAAAATAAAATCTGCATCTACACCATGCTCTAGAGGGAGAATTAAAGAGCAGCAAAAGTAGAATGCTGAGACAAAGTTTCTGTTGTAATTAGCATTTTCATGTTTTTGTGTTTGGACCTTGTCATCCAGCTGCTTGTACAGCTTGCGGATCTCCTCCTCGTACTTCTGCCGCTCCTCCTCGGAAATGCGGACCACAATGGAGGAGGTGTCATTGTCCAAAATGGGGCGCTCCTCCACAGACTCGATACGGGTCACAACCTCTGATGTGGTGCGCTCAGTCTCTGGCACGTTCTCGCCTGAGGGGGAGGGATGAAGGCACAGACAAACAAATGAGAGTATACATAAATAAATAAATAAAATAAATAAATAATAATGAGTTGAAGTTGAAACAAGGCTAGTCAGAAAATGTCTGACCATTTCTCCAGCGGTTGAGTTCAGTCTCCAGCTTCTGGATAGTGTCCTTCAGGGTCTTGTTCTTCTCCTTCTCCTTCTCGTACTTCCTCTTCCACTGCTCCGCAGTCAGCTCCAGGTTGATGGAGGCGGTGTTCCTGATGGTCTTGGCACTGTGACGGAGGAGGACAAAGACAGAGAGACACATATGATTCAGGTTCTTTCAGTGATTTTGACGATCAGTGTTAACAGTTCTACTGGATAATTTCCCCACTATTGAGCTTTATGTTGGTGCTATAACTCCAAGGTCATCTGACATGTATGCCTGTTCATATCTGACTCAAAAAGAGAGGCAGTGTCAGTTAGCGTCTGCATTGGATTTTACACGCCCAAAATAGTTAATTTCCCTCCTTCTGAGGGGTAAATATAAGTTTCCTCCCTGAAAAACATGACAGTGTGTGTGTAAACAGTTAAACTGAGTTCACTTCTCCCACATAAACTGTATACTATAATTTCTTTCCAAAGATGCATCGACAGATGTATCTACCGTTGTCCAAACATCAGAGTCGACTTGGTCTCAGCGTCGTTGTAGCTGGAGGGAGAGCAACATATGAACATGGTGGTGCGACAGTTCCCACCCAGGGAGTCCTGCAGGATGCGGGTCATTTTGCTGTCACGGTACGGCACATGAGTTTTCTGCAGTACAGAGGAGGAGAAAGAGAAGGAAGAAGTAAGATAAAGAAAGAAGGGAGAAGAAAAGAAAGGAAGATAATTAAGAGACAAAAGAAAAAGATGACAATCAAGAGAAAATTTGGAACCACAAAAATGAAAGGAACGCTTGAAGCCCTGATTTTGTACAAATCTGATTCATCAGCAGATTACTCAGCAAAAATGTACAGCCATTCTTCTTGATGATTCTAACAAACCCCAAAACTGCTGTCAAAAGTCTTAGATTGATAGTGCCGCATCCAACTAATCTTATAATTGGCAGGGTAATTTTGGCATTTGAGGGAAAAACCTGTTGAGTTGGCAGACAGGAAAAAAGGATAGAGGGTACTGGGCAAGATGCATTTCATTAACGAGTCGACCGGAGGGACTGACAGAGGAAGGTTATTTGCTACAGTGTCTGAGCCTGGAGGTAAACAGGACACCTCCATTAGTCATGTTTGCATTTATTTTAAATCCCCAAATTGTACAATGAAAGCAAGCTGCAGTTGAAAAAAAGGTAAAATCAGCTCCTTAAATATCATCTCATACATTGGCTCAACACTGACATACAGTATTTGCAGAAGTACCACACCAAGACGAAAACATTCAGTAAATAATACCACTTTACCACCATTTTACTATTTCACTTTAATCCAATATATTTTACTGTAATTCTTAAGGCATGCAGTCTTCAACTGTTACTTTACTTTCTAGACAAACAGAGGAAAGTAGGGTGAAAATGGCTCACCGTGCCCTCAGCCAAGGCAGAAATGACATTTCCCAGAGCAGAGAGAGACTTGTTGATGTTTTTAGCCTCATCCAGGACGGCTCCCGCAGCTCCAGTCTTACTGACCTGGAATAAAGAAAGAGACAGAGCAAGTGAAGTCAAACATAAGAGACAAACAGCTGAAGAAAAACACACACACAATCATTATGAAGGCATTGAATTTTCCACTTAGAGAGTTTCCTACCTTCTCACTGCCAGCCAGATCCACCAGGTACAGTTTTCCACACAGTTTCTGCTCAGTCTCCACATGCTCCTGCTTGATGTTGATCAGGAAGATGCTGTGGCTGCGAGAACTGTGCTCGTTCATGTCTGCACAAAGACAGAAACAACACAACAGTTAGGGGGAATAAAGGTAAAGAGGTTTCCCTGCAATCCTATAACTTTAGATACACATTTCTTTCTCCAAAATTGGTGTTAAAATTAGTTTAAATCCTTTTTTATGCTTCGAGGGATGGTATTTTTTTTCTTTTCTTCCAAATGTTGCCTGTTGTGTGCGAGGAAAAACATTTTTTTCTATGGAAATCAGAATAAAAGAGAGACTATGGTTAACAATGGTGATATTAACTAAAAAATAATAAATTAAGAATTTAAACATGAATACTGAATACACATGTAAGCCTTGTTTTAAAAATTTATAAAAAACAATTATTTATATCCCTCTCTCCCATCCAGTACAGATTAATTAGAATTTATCTGTGCTTTTGAAATCTTCCACGTCTTTTTGTCAACCAGAACAAGTCAGTAATGCAGCAGGATGATATCATCATTTCACCGAGTGCAGATAGAAAACAGCTCTGATCTAAACAGCTCTCTTCATCGGACCTCTTCACAGATGCTAAGTTCAGGTTTCTCTGCAGATGATATCTGAGGGCATCAGCTCACTGTCTGCGGAGTGTCGCCCCATTAGTCTGCTATCAGCACACGGCTCTGCAGCACAGTGAGTCAGCAGGCCTCAACCAGGAAACAGAGAAGACTGTGCTGCTCAGGAGCGCAGCCTTAAGCAAATCTGATACACTGCTGCTTACATTCAGTCGATTTTCAAAGTTAGTTCGTTGTAATATTTGATTATTATTACATTATTTCCACTACAATGCTCTTTAATTATTTCTGCTCTACTGAGCAGACTTTCTTTTATTATGTGTTTTAAAATTTTTCACCATGAAGAAATTTTCTTGGCAACATGCAAACTTTATAATCTCTCGCCCAGTAAATAAAAAATCCATAAAATACAAGTAACAAATAATTCCACAAAATCCTCCATAGTATCTATTATGGGTGTTATACAAAGCCATTACAATGACACAGTTTACTTCTTAACAGACAGAATATTTATATTTCTATACAGATTTTGCGGGCACCGAGGGACTTATGCCAGAGCACAGGCTGCAGCTCAGTGGGAAGAGAGTAAGTTGGGTCACACAGTATTTTTATTGGCCTTGGTCTGGTGAGAGACTGCTCATAGATCAGCTCAATGGATGTATGATTTGTTCTTTTATAGTGGTCTTTATCAGATGAGCAATCTGAGCTTTTATCTTTAGAGACAAGTTGCCTAACGACACGATGCAAAATTTTGACAGCCAATAACAGTCTGTAGCTGAACACAGCGCTTATGTCTGCACAGAAAATCATTTTATTCAGTCTCTGAAAATATCTGTTATCGTGAGTTACAAAGATTTAATACAACCTACACTGGATACAAATAGGTTTCACACACCATAATTAAGTCTTGGACTGGATTCAGGTAGCCCCATGGTGCATGCTGTCCTTAAACAGATTTATTGCCATGTATAAATGATGATGATTGGGTTTCTAAATTAAGATCAAGCATTTTTGTGCTTTGTATACTCATCAAAATTGCACACAGAGGCCTGTTATATTCCTGCGTTTACAAGTATTACTGACGTAAACACATTTTGTTCAGTTCAGTCCAGAAAAATGATAATTGAAATTAAGTTGTTTTCTGTTGCAGGTCTTTAATTTAAAAGGCATGTTAATTTATATATGTGTTTTGAATTTTTACTATTTTTCCATTTCTTTTTTATCCCAGTTGGTGTATTTAATTTACTTAAATGTGAGTATCACACCGATGATTCATCCCTCTGGCTAACATTATCATTGCCAGGAGGCTGCAGTGATTCTGTTTAAGATGATTAAGGACTCACACTGAGAAGCAGGAACGTTACTGTTCGAGCCATTAAATACCTGGAGCTGCAGCTCAAAATGTAATTTAAAAAGTCCTACCAATATGACATAATGAAAGAAATGTGCCAGATATTTGATTACTCTCCAGTTAACAATTAACTCTACAATATGCTGTGTTGACCTCTGTTGGTGTTTTGGGCGTCTGTTAGTGGGAAATTTACTTGTTTGACCTCTTTTTTGTTCAGTAACTTTAACTTTAATAAGATTTCATTTTGATAATTGCTTTTATCCCTGATTTATCAGAGTTTCTAGCACTGTAACATACAATTTATCTCTAATTCAGGCATCACATTGGCAGTGATAAATATGCACATAGGTCTACTCCTGTCAATCATGTTGCAGAAAAAGTGCAAAATCATATCAGTGATTTATAAAAAATGTCACAGACAGTCTGATGTGGGGAGCACTGAGGCACAAAATGCATTAACTCTGAAGAGAGAAAAAGTGTACAGGTTGACATTTATTACAGTGAAGCAGTCCTGGTGTTGAGCACTGAATCCCAAAGCTCATGTTCTCACTTCAGTGGACTTTCGCCCTGTGAGTCAGCACAAGACTCCACCATAGAACAAATAAATGAATATGCTGTACTGGCTTGTTGCTGGGGTAGTTCTCAGAGGACTTTCTTTATAGTATTTTTACCTTTTAAAATACCTTAAATACCTCAAACTGGAATACAAAATCTGCTTTAACAGTATTAATTAAAAATATTCAGTAAAAAAATTGTATTTGCCTAAAAAATCCTGAACAATATATTGTCAGTGGGGTAAGATTGTGTAATCATTGTTCTTCTTGTTGAAAAACAATAAGCTGGCAAGATTTTTTTTAGCTTGACTCCCACAAAACTGACATGCAACTAAATGATATCATTCTTACTGACATTGTAAGACAAATGCTTACACTAGTGTACAATCTTGTAATTACTTCCATTTTCTTTTACACTGCAATCAAATTTTAATAAAATTAAGCTAAAGCATTACTCTGATCTGTAAACCTGCAGTATTGTAGCAATTAGTCAGATATTACTGGACCACAGAGGAGTGAGTCAGCAGCATGTAGGCCAGAGCTTTTATTTACAGTATTTTGAAGGTTTTGTAACATCAGTTAAAGATAAAAATACTGAATACTGCAGTGAACCGCAGTGTGAAATCAGTTTATTAAACGAGCAAAGAGCAGGAGCTGTTTCAATTACTAGGAATGAGTTTATTGCGATTATGACTCTGAGCAGAGGATTCTACAAATCCACAATAACTCTCCATTACTGCCAGTTACATTACATTGAAGTCCATCAGACAGGATATTATTTCTTTTTATGAGAATGAATGAAGCTTGAAAATTATAGCAGGCCATAAAACAAAGATTACATAACAAGACACAATAGCAGCCTACATGAACTCAGCTGCTGGCACTGAAGAGAAACTAGATCTTGTGCTCTGATACGGAAGTAGAGGAACAACTTAACTCTCAAGATGGACGCCTAAAAATGTTTCACTGTAAGCTCTTGTGTTTTGGGCTGGCTTTTATTATATTGAACAAAATTGATTCCTGTCCTGCATTGCTGTGTTAATGTAACAACTGTATATCCTTTGTTGCAATAACAATATTCTCTGGTAAAGACTCACTTGTCACAGCAACATGGCGGTTCGCTTTGCCCTCATCGATCACATCCATAACCTCATCGGGGCTGGACACAAAGCGCTCAGTGCATCCCTGAGGGAAGGACAGAAGACAAGAGAGAGAAAAAAAGAGAGACAGACTTAATAACATGGATCTGATGCAGCACACAGGCAGATTTTGACCTAAAAAGATGACACAGAAAGCACAAACCTTGACATACGGCACCCTATTCTTATCCTCATGGACAGACAGGTTGGTCTTTGTAACTAAAAAACAGGAATTTTTAAAATGTGTTTTTAAGTGTTTGAGAACAAAGTACAGCAAAGCCATGCAGTAGTTACATTACACTGGTGCTACATGTGTTTATATTTCACAATATGAAAATACTGTATGAATACTGTACAGGTGATTCATGAAGAGCTAATTAGTACTAACCATCTAGAAGGTCACGGATTTTGTCCATGTAGATTTCAAAATATGAGACCTGTTGGAGAAGAGAGACAAATAGGGAACCAAATTTATTATCACATGAAAAACTGTTAAAAATAAAAATGCATACAAGTTAGTAACATACCATAAGAAACATAACACAGCCATTAATCAAGACATTAACTTGTGTAACTCATGAAACAGTACCTTGATGTGGAATTCAAGGTTTTCATCCATGGCAAAGATATGGTTGAAGATGTCCTCGGCAATGCGAGGAATGATACCCATCTGATGGGGGTCGTGCAGCTTGCCCTGAAACAGGAAGTCACAGATAAAGGCATAATTAGGTGTGATAGCAATCCAAGTCAAAGGTTAATGGAGACGTTATGCAATAATGCCTTTCAATTCTTATAAAATGTAAAATCCAAATTAAGGACAGTAAAAGGATTTGCATGAAAAAAGAAAATGTTATCCTGCTAGAACCACAAAGAGTCAACAAAACAACAAGCAAGTAGTGTCATAAAAAATAAATAACAATGCTGGAAGAAGAACTGGTAGATCACTTCTGTCACTAGTCTCTACTGACATAAAATTTATCTTAGTAATATAAATTAAATGGAACAATGGATAAGCATTAATTCATTGTTCTATTAAATTATTACAAAGACCCAAAACTCCTCATCCGAAACACAAAACAAACTTTACAATGATCGGACACATTTTAGTTTGCAGCTTTCCAGATCTGACTTGTTGGATAATATTGATTTACTTTATTGCTCTGAATACTCTACCTCCATGGTGTGAGTCTTCCCGGAGGAGGTTTGTCCATATGCGAAGATAGTGCCATTGTATCCAAAGAGGACATCTATGAGAAAAACAAAACCACAGATGAGACCACAGCACATACACTTTGAATATCTGACACATTTAGACATGGCTAATCATCCATACCTTTGACAATCTGTTTGGCGCAGGTGTTGTACACCTGCTCCTGGGTGGTGTTGGTTGGAAACACTCGATCAAACGAGTAGGACCTCCCCTGTGAAGACCATGAACAACAACAAACAGTTAACAAAAAACATAAAAGGTATAAAGTTGTTTATGTGAAATTGTGATCAGATTCTTCATTTTAATCTTCAGCTGTATTTAATTTTAGATATTTATCTTTCTACCTTAACTACATTTTGCTATTATGTGATCAGAATTAAACAGACC